GATAAATAGACAGGCCATTAATGAGGTAGGTAGGTAGATAGAAAGGTAGCTAGGTAGATAGACTGAAGGTACCAATCTGGATAGGTATGTAGACTGACTGATAAATAGGTAGACAGGTAGGTAGCAAGCCAAGCTGGTAGGTATATTGATAGCAGAATAAGAGATAAATGCATATAAATGAGACATACATACATATCCAGTTAATCCAGTATGCCTGTATTTACTGTATGTCTGTATTTCAGTGCATGTAATTGTGTATGCATACAATTAAAAATACACAAATACGTGTTAAAATACAAACAGAAAGAAAAGTAAACACATGCATAACAGGCACACCCATATTTCCATATAAATATGATGCACATATATAAGAAGTTAAGGGGAAAAAAAAAACAAGTGATTTTTGCAATTCATACTTTAATTATGCTGTAAAAGTTATACAAAGGCAAGGGTACATATATCACATCTTGAGGCGGTCAGGTCTGTCTGTACTTCCCTGCCATCTTTTTTAAATCATTATCATTTCATGACTTTAACCAAGTCCATCAGCTTCCACTCAGTCGTAATGGGTAAATTTCTTTTTTTCCTTTGTGCTTTTCATCGTTTAGCTTCCACTTCACCAAAAGGAAGAAGAAACTACAGTATGTGCTGAAGAGTGTCTACATAATAGCTACATGAGAGACCATACAATTGATGGATAATTAATTGTATTTATCATGCATAAGTCCCTATGAGGACTAATGCATATATCTTTCAAAAACTGTATTGTTGATATATCTATGATTCACAAAATTAGATGAGAAAAGAGTTATTTTTTAGTAAAGATTTAAATGTGCCTTAGTGATATTTCAGACCTGATGAAAGAGATCTGACCAAAAATTTTCAACATCAATAATACTTTTATCAAATATGTTTATTCCTTTGTTGTCCACCACTGATCAGAAGTTAAATGGAAAACCATCTACAAATAACAATTAAGATGGTTAATCAGGCTGCTGATAAGAAGGTTTAATAATCAACAAGTGAGAGGAGTGCAGGCGGTTTTAGTATCAGCCAGGATGTACTTTGTCTCCCACATGTCTCTGGATCAGATTTGCAGGGGAGTACAGAGTACAGTCATGAAAAGTGCATTATTTAACTGCTACTGACACTGAAACACATGAGACATACTGGATTACACCCTTGAGAATCATTTTCTAAATAGAAGTACAAGAATACTTGGGTGAACTTTTCATTTACCTTTACATCTCACCTTGGCAAATAACAAGGACAGATAACATACAGTACATCATTGGACCATACATTATATACAAACCACCAGTTACTCCTACATGCATTAATGGCCATTTTCTTTTCACAGGAGGAGAAAAAATGCACTCTTTCATTTCATTGGAATAAAAAAAAGACTGCTTTTGTAAATAATCTAAATTGTAATGATAAAGTTTTGATCAAAATGTTAAAATTGGAGGCATAGTCTCCAAGAGTTATATCCTATAAAAGTGGTTCTTTTCATTTTGATAGCAATATATATGAAAGACTATAAAACCTGAAATATATCTATAATGCAAGTGAAAATGCTAATATATTTGACATAATAGTTCATGGAGTTCAATATGTAACATTTTACACTCCATTCTGTGCATGACAGAGTTGCTGATATCAATTCAATCTGATATTTAGATATAAGCATTAATTCTTCATTGCATAGATAACATTTTAAAATTACAAATACTATATATGTTTAAACTATAATTTTTTTTCTACATAGAGGATGATTATCATAAATCCTGATAAAACATCCAGAAACATGTCTGAATAAAAAAGATTATTACATTTTTTTATAAGATTATACTGAATAACTTGTATTAATATAATTTGATCTCAAAAGCATCAAGTGATTGGGTACAGTTTGATTTCTTGTGCATAAGCTGTTTAAAAATCCGTTCAAATCACACCCTAACAATCACGCCCGACTCTCACCAGTTTTTAAAATCTCTCCAACAATATCAAGTTAATTTCAGGTCCTTCTTTGGCCGAATCTTGAAATTATGATAAGGAACATCTATAAAAGATCTAGCTTAAAGAATATCTTGGAGTGTAAAAAAAAAATAAAGAAAATAATAAATAAATAAATAAAAATGTATAAAATAAAAAATAAGAAACCATAAGAAAAAAATAAAATAAAATAAGAAATATATAAATAAAAATAAAATAAAACAAAACAATACAAAATAAAATGAAATTTCATGATTATGAAATGTCATATTTTTTTCTGATTTCATCAACACATGAAACAAAAACTTGAACATGAGAGAGATGCCTAAAGAAATTAATATACTGTTTTTTTTTTCTGATTTCACAGACATAGAGAATTTTTGAAAAATGATACCCTTTTCTAAATATTTTAATGAATTTTTCAGAATAGAATAGCAACAAGAAAATACATTCCTGTACTTCAGCACAACAAAATAAATACATGTATATCCTTTTCATAAATATCTTAATAAACTCTTTCCATGATACACAAATTCATTGAATCTGCAACTAATATCCAAGCAGTCAAGTGGGATTCTTGCAAGTGCATAACTTCACAACTTGATGAGCATTCTAGTGTGGCAAGAGTAAACATTTATGACCATTTTATTCCACAAAACCTATTCTAATATCAGTCACTCCTAAAAGACAGACACCTTGGCTAGTCAAAGGGTGAAGAAATCTATCCACCACTACTAACAACAGTCACATTAACAGCGCAATCAAAGGGCGAGAAGAAAGGAAGTTTTATTTTGTTAAAAAAAAAATACAAAAAACAAGAAGTGTGGGTTAAGCACATTTCCAGTAAGACAGAACAATACATTTAATTATAAATACATGATGCATGTATTCTATTATATGCGTATGTGTGTGTGTGTTTGTGTTTGTATGCACGTAGTCATATAGACAAATGGGTACATGTGTATGTAAATATCTGTGTATTATGTATATGTATACATATATATGGTTGTATGCAAGTAAATAAATGTCCCAAAAGTAACAACAGTTCTACAGTAAGCACAAAAAGGGCAAATTACACAATGGGAAAATGCCATTCACTGGAAGAACAATATGGAATACGTATTTGACTGTAAGAATCAGTCTTACTGATGAAACTTATTATAAACATACAGTCATTTTGGGAATTAAAGTTAATCTCAGCACATCAGCAAGGCAGATATGGAAAACACCTTACTTCAGGATACATGTATAAACAGGACAAGGTTACACTTCTAAGCACAAGTTAAAACCAAGAAAGGAACCATTTTCTTAAATCGTTTGTAAGACTTAGCAATGAGTGCATCAAGGCCATTCAGCCAACTACAGCAGTTCTATGTCCAAACACTAATGATTCATAAAACACCATCTATCAAAACGGTTACGCTTTATAATAGTGAACATCTAAAAGATAATGGTGGACTTCCATAATCTCCATTGTAAAATTCAGGGAGTATTATTTTGCAGATATGGCAGTATCAGTCGTGACGTGGATAAGAATGGCTGCCAAACTGTGGGTTAACTTTTTCCACACTTACTCAGATGATTTTTTTCTTTTCTAGAAATATTCGTTCAGAAAATAAACGTCCATTATATATTTTCTCACTACAAGAGATGCTACAGCAACAGACTGGTGGACGTAATCCATAAAACAGATATTGCAAAAGAAAAAACTACTGGCTGGAAACTTTCAGATTTGATTCTCCTCCAAGTATTTCCCTTAAGTACATACAATGACCTTATAAATCAAGAAGAAATGGAGATATAAAAATTAACAAACTAACTGCTGACCCCTAAATTGTTGGATACCCTCCTAGGACCCACCAATTCTTCCTTTGAACAATTTCTTCTTCCTCAGATGCATTGATACCCTCCATTCAATCTAAATGTCCTTCACCCTTAACCCCTCTTTCTCCTGTTACTAATCCTTGTCTTACCCCATTTACTCCCTTTCTTTACCCTTTTCACTACCATGCTCTCCTACATGTAGTACGACCAATGACAACTAACACATTCTGTTCTAATCACGGACTCATTTATACCCTTTTCACCATAATGCTTTACCATAGTGCTATATGACCTCTGATGTCTTGCACATTTACTTGTTTTAACCATTAACCATTAGCCATTCCTGATATCAATCTATGTAACTTTAAATAGAGGAAGAAAGAAAGATACCAACAGAACAGCACTTAACCAAAAGACTAATTTCTGAAACATTACTCCGCACACAACTGATGAAAGTCCAGCACTATCAACCGCTAGTTCTTTATCCACGTCACATTACCATGAGGCACAACAGTTTCCATAATACTATTTCTCATTAACAATACAACATTTACATCAGACAATATAAATGGATGGTATATATGCATTAATGTATTATTCAAAGCATGGAGTGTTATAGAAAAATAATTTTAAAAGATGCATTACGGTAACACAGTGTACCATTCTGTTTTCATGACAAGCATCAATGAAGAGAGACAGAAAGAGAAAAAAAGAAAAGAAAGGAGGGAGACAGACAGACAGACAGAGAATGTGAGAGAGAGAGAGAGAGAGAGAGAGAGAGAGAGAGAGAGAGAGAGAGAGAGGGAGAGGGAGAGGGAGAGGGAGAGGGAGAGGGAGAGGGAGAGAGAGAGAGAGAGAGAGAGAGAGAGAGAGAGAGAGAGAGAGAGAGAGAGAGAGAGAGAGAGAGAGAGAGAGAGAGAGAGAGAGAGAGGGAGGGAGAGGGAGAGGGAGGGAGAGAGAGAGGGAGAGAGAGGGAGGGAGAGAGAGGGAGGGAGAGAGAGGGAGGGAGAGGAGAGGGAGAGGGAGAGAGAGAGGGAGAGAGAGAGGGAGAGAGAGAGGGAGAGAGAGAGGGAGAGAGGGAGAGGGAGAGAGGGAGAGAGAGAGAGGGAGAGAGAGAGAGAGAGAGAGAGAGAGAGAGAGAGAGAGAGAGAGAGAGAGAGAGAGAGAGAGAGAGAGAGAGAGAGAGAGAGAGAGAGAGAGAGAGAGAATATAAAATAATGAGATGAGAGAAGTGAGGATGAGATGAAATGAGGAGGAGCCTAGAGACAAGCCAAAGAGACCCGAGAGGCCCAGAAAGGGACAGGATGAGCAGAGATATGTTCTACATATTTCAAAGTGGCCCAAGCACAAAGGACTAGAAAATTCTAGTGCAAAATGGTCAATTTGAAGGCACAAAGAGAGAGAGAGACACAGATATGTAAGTCCAAGACAGAAATATCAGAAATGGTACCACAAAAAATGTGGCATATGCAATCTAGGCCAAGTGTTTTATATATATGTCACCACTAATTTCTCTTGGAAAAAATTGGTGTTGCAGAATAATAACCTCAAACTGCATATTGGTGCAGGATTACCATTATGGAATATCTTTTGATTCTTCACATGTCCTTACGACAATGTGAACAAGCAGAAACATAAGAGGAAATATATCCACACTATTCAACAATACATCTTTGCAGCACAGTACATCCCCTTAACCCATGATATGTAAACTTAGCACTTGAATGGTAAAACAAGTATAATATTAAGAGTCACCACTTTGGTAAATGCATTCAAACACCTTTATTTGCACTGTAAAAGCATGTGAACTCTGACTAGTCTCAAGCATTTAAAAATCATATCACAAATAACAGCTTATTACCATCTCCAGTATTCCAGCATGAATGTCTATGTATGTATGTACATGAAAAAAGAACTTAGGGTCAAGGGGTTGCACATTTTACAATACATGGCCATATAGACTCAACATTATAAATACCTTTATACTGATACATCCAATAACAAAAGTCATTTTGAAGAGATCTTTGCCAGACCCACATATGAGTATCAAATTGGTCAAGTTATAGTCTGCTGTGGCATTTTAAAATAATATTAATTCCACAGAAATGATAACTGTTCAACACATCATGTTTCCCCTCCCTACATCCTATTTGTAGACCAACAGTAACAAAATCAACAGTGTCTTCCTTGAAAAAAGGGAATAATATTAATCAGTGTATCTGACAAATGCATCATTTCTTTACAAATATTTGATTTACATTCACATTATCATATTAAACATCTATAGTGACTTCCATATCAATGTAATTCCCAGGGCAACAAACTGATATGTTCCAATATCAATGGAAATTTAAATGGTTTGAAGTATAAAACCTCCATCAGATCCAAGTCAGATAACTAGCACTGATTTCATGTATGCTTTAATGCTGATAATACAGAAATACCATGAACAATAACCACTGCAATAAATAAAATGGTCCTTCACACACACTAATCTTGTACATATATGGACATGCACTTCCACATACAGATAACAGAAGTGGTACATCTGTGATATGAATTTCCATTTGGATAAAGTGACATCATCACATCCAAAGCATCCCTTTACTGCCCAACAAACGCATGCAGATATTTGAAAATATGAAAGACCTCCTATCTGGATGCAGTTCCACCATGATAATATGTATAAAACATTATTGATATTAAGACAGGAAACAGGAATATCATAATCACCATAACACTAGTGAAGTCAAGAGATTGTCAGGATCGCTACCTTACCCTGTCATGTTTGGTGGCGCTGGTTGCATTGCTTCCAAATTTTATTTCCCCAAAATGGGTCATACAGTTTCTCCATCTGACAATGCACATTACATCTAAAATCTCTAAAACATTCAGTTAAAACACTAATCTCACTGATACACTCAAACCATTCCTTCTTAGTGAATCATACTTTCCTTTGTCCTTCCTAATTCATACTTTAGTGTATAATGAAGTAAAAGGAAAAGGAAAAGCAGAGAAATTGTATTCATATAGCAAGTGTGTTCAAAACGAACCTTTTGGCATTCTATGTTTATTCCCTAAGTAAAGAAAAGTTCTCAAATCATTGATCTTTGTTATCTCTACATAACCCCCCCCCCCAGAAAAAAAAAACATTGAGATAAAATAATAGGAATTCTCCCCCCAATAAAGGTCAAAACTTAATAAAACTACTCCATAAAATACATGAAATAGAGATAAAGTATTATTTCTTGGATACATAAAATTATAACCACTTAATCATACTTTACCATGCAGATACAGTTCTCACATAAATTACATTGACTCACTTAAATCTGTATTAAAAAGTATTTCCCATATCACATCAAAGTTAAGGATTATTTAAAACAAATCTTTGGTAAAATGCCATACAGCCAAACCAACAAAGTATCCATTCTTCACTGTATCGAGATAACATACAATTTGAACAGTCTAATTGCTCTGACCTTCATAATAGTAGTAAAGCTTTGAAATATGGTAAATAAAATCAAGGACAGATTCTCTTTTTCAAATACTTGCCTTTGAGCTCTGGTAGCAACAGATATGGGGATTGAAAGTGCAACAGCTCTTTCACTTTGTTTTTAGCTAGTATATTTAAGACAATGGTAGAGCTGTTGTAGTGCCTCATAAACAGCTTGAGAGCTGATTATAGAAATTGGCACAATGATTTTCACATCTTAAAGTTTTTTTTCTAGGGATCAACACTACTAGTGGTTATTTTAGAAATAGGTTCCACTCTTCAACATTTTGCTAAAGTCTAAACTATGCTTTTTTAGTTGTTTTTTTTTCAACATGCAATAATTTCACTCAGTCAGTCAAATAATCTTCTTCTTTAAATGTACACAATGTTCTAACAATCAAAACCTGAGCTTATAAATACTTTATCAAGCAAAGAGATTTGTACCATATAGATACACATTGGCAATATATCTTTAGACTCAAATATAAGACAATATCATTTTAATTGCTATGATATTTTCTCCCTCTACTTAAGAATGTATTAGAATGTTTACTTGAAAATTACCTTTGCCAGAAAAATACTTTGTAGAGGTAAAAACACCTTTCTAACTTATCTCATGAATGCTTTAAAATAAATGTTTTTTTTTTTTTTATCTTACATTATTTTTTTTGGTGTGCACACAAGCAAAGGTTAGTAAAGTGACCCTCTACGCATGAGTCTGTCGCTAGTTTGCAGAAGTTGGAGG